CTAATAGTTTGGCCGTAATCGTCGTTCAAAAAGTCAAAATTGTCAAAATTGAGAAACTTTAAACGCGTTTTTCTACGAAACTATAAGACTTAGAGCGTGAAGCTAAAAACCATTAGAATTAGCTTGAAATTATCTATCTAATGGCGCAAACCGGAAGTCGCTCCGGGTTATGATTCCGGGTACAGAGCCATTTTTAGTTTTATTAAAAAAAAATTAATATCTCAAAAACTATGAGTTCTAGGTCAAAGCGGTTTATTCAGGCGTATTCTCCGGTTAATTCTACATCTAGTACTAGTTTTTCATAAGAATCAAAAAATGTTGATTTTTGGTCAAAATCGGATATAGTGCTTATACCTTTAGCCTTATTCTTAACTTTATTACTCAATATTTCAAAAACTATGCATCGTAGAGTATTTTAACTAGTTGCATTGTGTTCAGCGAGAAATTTAACGTCTAGAAAACCATATTTCAACCGTTTTTACGACTTAAGGTAAATTGACTATTTTTACGATTTTACTATCGCTCACCTTCAAAAACTCAAAAAATTCAAAATTTTTGAAACTTGACCCAATGGCGTTTTTTTGCATTTATTTGGGTCCTTAAGACCTCTAGAAATGTAAAAAATGTAAAATAGATCAATTTTAAAGATAATTTTTTTTTTGTTTATCGTCGAGATTTTGGTCGATTTTTGCCACCCGGAACGGTGTAATGGCAATAACTCCGGACTTATTGGAGATAACCTCTTATGTTTGGTACCGTTGAAAAGAAAATTTAATTTTCCATCACACTGGCTGTTTGTGGATTGCGAGCAAATATTTAACTACTAATAGAACTCGTCAAAAGAAACAACTTCTGTAATTCTAAGTTTTGTCGAAAACACGTCATTTCTGAGCTAAAATTAAAAATAAATTGAGACTGAAAACCCATCCCCGCCTATGTCTTAATACGATGTTTACACAACCATCGCTGGCTAATTGGATATGCAGAGTTGGCTTCAAACACATAAAAAACCTACTAGTTCAAATTAAAAAATAAAAAATTTAAGAAAATGTTCTCTTCAGATAATAACAATTTAATGTGTAAAATATATTAAATTGTTATCACCCAGCAAGAACCACATGGAGATATGAGGACGTCTTGCCAAAAATTAAAATAAAACACGCACAAGGAATGAAATCTTAAGCCAACCCTGATTAAAAGGCACGTGACGGACACGAGTCATAACCGAACCATTGCATTGACAACTTCCAGACGCAACTGACCAGTTTAACAAGTTGATTTTTTTACCGTTTGCTACCTCGAAAACAAAATTGTTCGACTGTATTAGCCACGCGTCAATTTTTACGACTGTGGACAAAAAAAGGGACTGGAAGCGATCGCTTGAGGCGAGTCTTAAAGAAATTGAATTGAAATTAAAGAACGAAGACACGTAAAGTCTGTTTTTTTATGGAAATGCCAAACAGTCTTAACGTTGGCACTACTAGTAAATTCATTCATGGTAATTTTAATAAAGGAAGTTGGCAGTTCCGGTTTTTTGAATTAATTTGAAAACAATGTCAATAAAAACCTCAACACAAAATCAGAAAATTTATTTTATTGTAAAAATAAAGAATAATGGATATAGCTTAACACAAATGTGATTATTAAGTGATATTTCTTCCATCTCTTGTGCAACTGTGCACTTTTTGGCTACTGAAACAATATTTTTTTTTAATGTGTAACGTTAAATATCTTTTTAGTTATTGATTATAAACACCTAAAAGTAATAATTTTAGAAAGACAATTTAATGATCTTTTAAATGCAAAAACAATAAATACGGTGTTCCATTTAAAATTTTTAAGTTATTGAATTTTTAACAAACGCTTTCATTTTTTTATCTTTGCAAATGCAACACACTAAAAAAAATTTACATCCTTATAGCTTGTACCTTCTTCTTTGCGATAGTAAAAAAAATATTTCTAGATGTCTTAGTTTTTGTGTAATAAATTCTTAAAAAGTGCATGTGTTTGTCAAAAAAACGTCTTATTTTTAAAACTAAGCAAAATCGACCAATAAAAGTTTAGCTTAAAAACATTGCCATAAAAATCTACATCCAAAAACGGTGTTTTATTTAAAAAAACACAAGTTTGATTATTGTAACTTATTTTTGAGACACGCTGTATATTTGAAAATAATTTTAGGTACAGTTACGGTATTAAAATTTCGGGCAGTATTGTCATTTTCATAATGTAAACTCTAAAGCAACTTTTACATTAATAACCTCATTTTTTACTCTTGTCATGTTTATGTCATTTTGATTTAAAAAATAGCGTCACTGACAGAAAAGTTTAATTGTCAAATGTCAGTCATGACAGTAAAAGATAGTTTACAGTGAACTTTATAAAGTGACAGAAAAATACTGTCCGAAATTTTAATTCCGTAACTGTACATACTATTTTTTTTTGGCAAAGAGTTTCCTCTTTCTGTATAAAAACTTTCATGGGCAACATTCAATGCAAATTATTTTTATTGGTATTTTTATTTCCATCTAACAAGGACAAACACACTGAACGGCTCGTGAAAATCATGGGGAGGAAATTGCAAAAAATATTTTGGATACGAAATTTGTTTGGACTTCAATTCGACTTTTCAACAAATAAAAAAAAATATTTGCTCGCAATCCGCGAACACCCTGTTTTCAAGCGTTTTTTTAGAAATCTCAGATTTTTTGGTATTAAACTCACACAAATGTCTTGCTCACATAAAGATAATAGTTATTTATTCTACCAGTTTGAGTGTAAATCGGACGGATTACTTCACTGAATGGATTATTAAACCACGAGTGTAACGAGTGGTTTATCATCCACGAGGTCTTCCAAAAGATTTATGAAAATTATTGTTTTTAAGTAAAATTTAAAAAAATGTCTGGTAATATACTTAAAAAAAATTAGATTTATAATATTAAAAAAATAATACTAAGTTGAGAATTATTTTAAAAAAATAATAGAAATTTCTTTCTTCTGAAAGATTCATAAAACTTATTATTTTTAATTGTGAATTAACAGAAATGTCTAGTAATATGCTTAAAAAACAATTGTATTTATAAAAAATACTATAAGTTGAGAATAATTCAAGAAAAATTTCTCTCTTCTAAAACATTCATGAAACTGTTGTTTTTAAGTGAAATTTAAAGAAATGTCCAGTAGTATGCTTAAAAAACAATTAAATCTCTCAAAAAAAAAATAATACTGAGTTGAGAATAATTTAAAAAAATAACTCTTCTCATGAAACTTATTATTGTCCATTTGAAATCTATAATATTGTGTTTTTTGATGTCAAATAAGACCCAAATATCATAAAAATATTTATTCTTCGACACTGTCAAAATTTACAGTTTTTCTCCTGTTTGGTATTTCTCAATACCTACGAAATGTCGGATTATTTTTAACAGATTTAAAGCAAGTTTAAGCCTTATTGACTCTAATTCGAAGAATAAAATATTGTATTCCACTCATTTGAGTGTAAATCGGACGCTTTATTCCACCTCGTGGATGATAAACCACTCGTTACACTCAAACTCGTAGAATAAATAACTATTATTTTATTATTTTGATGTTTTTATATTGTTGTTGAAATAAATAAAATGCAATAGTTGTGTTAAAATTTTGGCGAAATGTACTTTTCGACTTAATTTGTTGATTTTTCAGTTCGTTTTAGCCAATTTTGCAAAAAACCTGAGATTGTTATACAAAAACGTGCTTAAAAACATTTTCGGCTTATTTTAGTCTTATTTTGTTTAAAAACCAAATAAATCGAGTGAGACAAACAAAATAACACCAATATCAATCTTTTTTGTAATTTTAGGCGTATTTGGAAAAACTATTTCACTCCAAATGTGTAAATAATAATCAATAAGACTTTTGTGAACTGTAAAATAGATGAAAAAATAGATAAAATTATAAAAATTTTAAAAATACGATACGGTAGAAGTATTGAACAAATATGCGAGCGCCTCAGAACAAAATTATTACATATTTTTAAAAAATCCAAAAATAGGAAAAACAAATGTGTCAACAGTTAACACAATTAGAAAAAACATTTTTTTGATGGTCTAATGGAGGTAGGATAATGTTCCACATAGACGGAATTTGGGTATTTGAATAGCCATATCGTCATTTTTGTGTCATATAAAATATATTTTATTGAAGAATTAAAGCGGCTTTTTTTACAACAGTCTTTATATCACTAGAAGTTACAATGGTAATGTTAGCTTGTTTATAAACAAAGAAATGTTATTAGTCGCCAATAAGTTGATTTACGATTTATTTTGCATTTTTTTCATTACTTAGTACTTAGAAAACTCTTTCATTAGTGACACTTGTTGAATAATATAGTTTAAATCCTTTTAGTTGAAGATGCAACATTTTTTCATGGCCAACTGCGAACAAAAATCAAAGATAATTTTTTGCTAAAAATGTATTATAATAATTTGTTACAAATATATATTTTTTAGATAAGAAAAGCCATCTATGATTCCCATTTAAAAAAATACAAGTTTATTTTATTACGGCTAAACAACCAACTGAAAAAAATGGATAACTACATTAATAAATTCTACGTAAAAAAGTGCCTGTATAATGTCCTTATTTCAAATCTGTGTCTTCTATAATAATGAAGATATGAATTTTTTTAGATTTCGCTAAAACGTCAATTTTTGTCGTCTATAAGTCGAAAACAAAAGACGATAGCGGGATGCGGTTTTAATCAATATTATTTTCTCAAAAAATGAGCCCCAGAATGTATTACTCGTTTTTGGCTAAACCTCTTAGTTTCGGAGATTCCCTATTCGGACATCCAAAATGCAGCACCCTGTACAGTTACGGTATTAAAATTTTGGGCAGTATTGTCATTTTCATAATGTAAACTCTAAAGCAACCTTTACATTAATAACCTCATTTTTTACTCTTGTCATGTTTATGTCATTTTGATTTAAAAAATAGCGTCACTTCAATTCGACTTTTCATAACAAATTATCTTAGTGGTTAAAATATTTGCTCGCAATCCGCGAATACTGTATTCAAGCGTTTTAATGAGAAACATTTTTGAGTCTCTAGGACTATTTGAAGTGCCAAAAATGTTATTTGGTCTAATTTTTTAGAAATTACCGAGTTTCTGAGAAAATTTACGGTGTTAAACTCACACAAATGTCTTACTCACATAATGTTAAAAAAATATTTATTTCATTATTTTCATGTTTTTATATTATTTTATATTGTTGAAATGAGTTTTTTATTTCTATGGAGTGAAATTTTGTTTTTTGGTTTCTATGACCTTGATTTGACATTTCAACCATGTGGGCATGTGTCAAACAAATAGGTTATGTTAGTCAATCAAGGTGAAAGTTCTAAAAATGTAACTGTAAAAAATATTTTTCGGATAGCCAAAAAAATTCATTTCATTCGCAATTCAATAATGCACTTGGTTGTGACTAACAGTACACACCAAACTAATAAATTATTCAAAACAAGTCTTTCTTATCTGGGTCATCCTTTTACTAATCCATTGAGAAGTGTTCAGTTTGTGGTTAAACCATGACGAGTTTAAAGCTAAACCGTCTTGTAAAATACTCATTGGTTGCAAGTGCAACCATTGGTACAGCTGTAAGTCTTCAGGGAAACCAATACCAACTCAATTCAATTGGAATCGTGAGACTAACTCGCGCCGCAGTGACAGTGTTCCAAATCGGTGTCATTTACAAAAAAGACCTTTATGGTCAAAACCTCGACAAAAACTCCGAAGATTATAAAAAACTCAAGTCGATTTGTCACAAAAGAAGCGCTGAAAAGTTACTCGAGTTGTGCTGCACCAATAAGGGGACTTACATCAAAGTAGGCCAACATTTAGCCGCCTTGGACTACTTACTACCCCCCGAGTACGTGCAAACCATGAAAGTGTTGCACAGTCACGCCCCTACCAACCCCATCGAAGACGTCCACAAAGTCCTCCGGGAGGACCTCAAAAAGGACCCTTTCGAGGTCTTCCAAACCATTGAACCAGAACCCTTGGGCACGGCTTCCCTAGCCCAAGTCCACAAAGCCACCCTTAAGGACGGAACCACCGTCGCCGTCAAAGTCCAACATCCCTACATCCAAGGCAACGCCAGAGTGGACCTGAAAACGATGGAATTCCTCGTGAAAATAATGAGTTGGGTGTTCCCCGAGTTCAAATTCCAGTGGTTGGTGGACGAGACGAAGAAGAACATCCCCCAGGAGCTCAACTTCGAGCAGGAGGGGCGCAATGCCGAGAAAGTCGCCGAGATGTTTAAACATGTTGAGTGGCTCCACATCCCTGAGGTAATCTGGGGTTTGACCACCCCCCGAGTCCTCACGATGGAGTTCGTGGAAGGGGGCCAAGTGAACGATTTGAAGTACATCACCCAGCATGGGATTGACCCCTTCGAGGTGTCGGATAAGTTGGGGAGGCTTTACTCCCAAATGATTTTTATCAATGGTTTCGTGCACAGTGACCCCCATCCTGGGAATATTTTTGTGAGGAAGTCGGAGAGGGGCGACTGTGATATTATTTTGTTGGATCATGGATTGTATGCGAATTTGAGCGATGAATTTCGAGTCGAATATGCGAATTTGTGGTTGAGTATCTTGAATCGAGACAGGAAGGCGATGAGACTCCACAGCGGCAACTTGGGGATCAAGGGGGACCTCTATGGGTTGTTTGCCTGCATGGTGACGGGGCGCACGTGGGACACGATTTTGAAAGGCATTGATCAGTAAGTGACCAATTTCCGAAAATGTATATTTGGTTGCCTAAGCTCGCATTGTGTTGCCAAATCAAAAACATAAAATTCACCAGATTCGAGTTGAAAAATTTGCAAATTTTCACAAAATAACGATTTGTATGACAAAAATGACATGTTTTCCGACCTAATTCTGTTATTGTTCGGCTTGTTTTCAACAAAATTTTGCAAGTAATTGCGTTTCTAACTGAAAAAGTGCTAAAACGCTCGAAAAATACAACAATAATGTAATTTTAGACTCAATTAATTTCTTTTAGCGAAATCTAGCGAAAAACTTGAAATTTTTGTACTAAATTTTGTGTTTTCACGGCTTATTTTTGTCTTATTTTGCTCAAAAACCAAATAAATCGAGTGAGACAAACAAAATAACACCAATATCAATTTTTTTGTGATTTTCAGGCGTATTTGGAAAAAATTTTTCAAAATAAATAAACCTGTGGTTCAAAAACGAACAAAATTGGGCTAACGAGCTTAAAAATTTCGATTTAGTTTTGTAATTTTTTAGCCTGTTTCAATGCAATATTTTAAACTTTTTGTGTTTTTATCTCTCAAAAAGACAAAAAACGCCGTTTTTTATTGAATTTGTGACTTATTTTTAACAAAATTTTACGTTTCTATATGAAAAACGTATTTAACTCTGAAGAAATGAAATTTTCGACGTAAAAACGACGTTTTTTGGGTTATTTTATTGAATTTGTAACTTGTAACAAAATTTTGCGTTTCTAGCTGAAAAACGTGCTATGACTCTGAAGAAATGCAATTTTCCACTTAATTCGTTGATTTTTCGGTTCGTTTTAGCCAATTTCACAAAAAAACTGAAATTGTAATATAAAAACGTGCTTAAAAACATTCTTGGCTTATTTTTGTCTTATTTTGCTTAAAAACCAAATAAATCGAGTGAGACAAACAAAATAACAGCAATATCAATCTTTTTTGTGATTTTTAGACGTATTCGGACAAAATTTTGCAAAATAAATAAACCTCTCGTTCAAAAACGAACTAAGTTGGGCTAAAGAGCTTAAAAATTTCGATTTAATTTTGTAATTTTTTAGCCTGTTTCAATGCAATGTTTCGAACTTTTTGTGTTTTTATCTCTCAAAAAGACAAAAAACGCCGTTTTTTGGGCCATTTTATTGAATTTGTGACTTGTTTTTAACAAAATTTTGCGTTTCTACCTGAAAAACGTGCTATAACTCTGAAGAAATGCAATTTTCGACTTAATTTGTTGATTTTTCAGTTCGTTTTAGCCAATTTCGCAAAAAACCTTCTCAAAAACATTCTCGGCTTATTTTTGTCTTATTTAGCCCCAAAACCAGTTAAATCGAGTGAAACAAAGAAAATAACATGAATATCAATACTTTTTTCTGATTTTTAAGCGTGTTTGAAAAAGATTTTGCACAATAAATGAGCCTCTTGTTCAAAAACGAAATAAGTCGACCAAAACAAGCTAAAAATAATATCAATTTTGATTTAATTTTTTAATTGTTTTGCCTGCTTCACCAAAATTTTTAGAATTGCCTTTGTTTTTATCTCAAAAACGTGCTTAAACACTTGAAAATTTTTGAATTTTTGGATTTTTTTTAACGAAATTTTACGAAATAATTGTGTTTCTACTAGCTAAAAAAGGATTCGAAAATGACAAAAATTGAATTGTCATTTTCGATCCTGTCTAGTAAAATCTTGTAAAAAAAAAACAAACAGAACTATTTTTAAACAATTTGGTGGTTTTTCGATTTTTTTGAAAAATTTTTACGAAATAATCAAGTTTCTGGTTGAAAACGTAGAAAATGCTCAAAAACAGTTTTTTCACTTCCAAAAAAGCATCCAAATATTAGAATTTTTATAAAAGTTTTTACTAAATCACCAGATTAGCATGAAAATCACCAGATATAGTAAAATTCCACCAGACCTGACAACACTGGCAATCAACAAGCAAGGTATCCATAGTTACCATACAAAAGTGTATATTTCAGATTAGACAACCAAATATACAAATTTATAATTCAGCGATTACTTGATTATTAAATAACTACACATTAACTTTATTTTTAGGCAAAAACCATCAAAGAGCGAAAAGGACTTATTAAAACGGGAGTTTCCAAACGTCCTACCACTGATTTCAGGGGTTTTAGATAAAGTTAATCGACAAATGTTACTTATTTTTAAAACTAATGACTTAATGAGAGGGATTGAACACACGTTGAAAACTAGTGCTAGAATGGGGGCTTTTTGCGTCATGTCACAATGCTGTGTAAGATCGGTTTACAGTGAAAAACTGTGTAAAGAAAATAGCAAAATTGGCAAATTTAGAATAACCTTAGCCCAATTTTGGGCACTTTTTAAAATAAAATTGTACTACTCATTCTTGAGTATTAGACAAATCCTCAGTACATGACAATTTTATATTTTAGTATTTTTAAACAGTTATTAAATAAAAGAATTTATTTATGTAAATGTGATTTTATTTCGTAATTATCTACAAACGGCAGTGAAAAATCAGATCAATTTTGAACAGCTACTTTGAAAAAACTACTTTTGTAATATTTCAATTCTTCTATGCTTTCTTTGATATCTGAGAGGGCTCTATGCGAAAAAGTCTTTTTGGGGGCCTCCTTGTACACATCCGGATTCCACCTCCTGCACAATTCTTTGATTGTGGAAACATCAATTATCCTATAATGCAAATATTCATGCAATCTTGGCATATATTTTCTTAAGAAGAGACGGTCCATATAAACGCTATTTCCGGCCAAGGGGCTAATTTTCTCAATTACGTATTGAGACACAAACTCCATTATTTTGTCTTCCGCTTCTTGGACGCTTATTTTAGACTTTAAACAGGCCTCTGATAAGCCACTCTGAAATAAAAAAATCAATAAAAAGAAATATATACAAAAATAAAAAAAACTAGAAACGTATACTTCCGTTTTTCTATCGTTTTCGTTTGATTTTCTTAAAGAGTTGAGCCACATTTACTCGAAATGTCAACAACTGTCAGAAGTGTCAGATTAAATGATTGAAATCCAACGCACTCTTAATGATATTTACAAAACGTTAATTTAGGCACTTTTAGACTTTTTTTTCTCTATGAAACTACTATTTTGTAGAATTCTGATTGAATTTTTGTTTTTCACTTTCACTCAATCCCTACCTTTTGCCGTTTTCTAGTTTTAGTGCTTCCAAATTTTCAGAAAAAACAATTGCTATCGCGCGACAAAGATGGTTACATTAAGGTTTTACACGGGTATGAGAGCGTTCAAGCTATCATGTTTTAGTAATAGAGTAATTAATAAACATTTTTGAAAATATCAACACCTTTGGGTTTTTCTGTATTCTGCAAACAAACATTTGGCATATGCAATTGAAAACTAATATTCACGATAAAAAAAAACTAACAAAAACAACATCGTTTTAGATTACATAGATTTGCATACAAAATTTAAATGTTTAGTTTGGTTGTTTCTAAAATATTTTTATCATCACTATATATATCACTATTTTAAACATCTGGGCATTTTTTGAGTCCAACTGATTTCCGTTGAAAGAAAATTGTTCATTACGGCCCTGATGTGGTTCAAATTGTTCTAAGTTTTGCACTGATTGTACATAAAGAACCAATCTGTCGAATTATGTGTATTTATATAAACATTTCAATTTTTTTCGAAGAATAAAGGCTAAAAACGACTCGAATCGGTATTTTTGAATCAAAAATTGAGCAAAATACAAATTTTAGTACACAATAAATAAACTTAATTCACAGTGTTATGTAAATCTTCAAAAATGTCTAATTTTGAAAGTTTGGACATTTATTTATCCTTTAAATAATTATTTGAAAATAAAATCAAAAAAGATTTTTAAAATTATTTAAATTTAAAAAAAATTTCTTGTTGAAAAATCTAAGACGTGGTTCTGATTGGTTGATTTTAAAAGACGTAATTGATTGGCTAAGGATCGAACAATGACACTCAATTATAACGCATTAAATAATTTTTACTTTTTATTGGTCTAATAATCGAAAGTGCAGGATTCATATTGGCTCTGGGGTTAGTTCCACCCATTCTGCAAAATTAGATCCAATTAAAGTAAGATAACTCACACTAAACGCTGATTTGTTATAGAAATTCCATTCAAAATTCAATAATTATTCACGATTTTTTAAATGGGTGGAGTTACTTATCGTTGCTAGGTTTTTGTCGGATTTTGGCCAATAAGAAATAAAAACCGGTTTGTCCTCATCTTAGTGGTAATTACGTGAATGGGAAATGATTATTATTGGTCCATGTAATCGGAATTAACAAATGTATCCAACCAATCAAAAACCTCACATAAAAAACTGTTTTAATTCAACTCAAATTTGCTTGAAAAAAACGCAAAAATAATGAATTTAAATTAATTTTTCCAATTAACCACAAAAAAATTATTGTTGGGACTATTTCGTCAGTTTATTTTCTCAGTGGATTCCAAAAAAATACAGATTAAAGATTTTATACGACTTTCAAAAATTTTTTTCGCCTGATTTTCTTGAAGAGTGTGAGCCACATTGCCATTGTCGCGAAATGTCAACAACTGTCAGAAGTGTCAAATTGAAATCCAACGCACTCTTAGTGATTTTTTTAAACCGTTACTTTTCTCTATGAAACTCTACTACTTTGTAGAATTATGATTGAATTTTTGTTTTTTACTTTCACGCAATCTCCATCTTTTGCCGTTTTCTACTTTTAGTTCTTCCAAATTTTCTAACAATTTCCAGGAAAAAACAGTTGCTATCACGTGACAAAGATGGTTAAATTAAGGTTTTACACGGGTGTGAGAACGTTCAAGCTACAGAGTGGTTATAAATGATTTTCATCTAGCCAGCTTTGGAATTTTTTTGCATGTAACGTTATTTGTGCCGCTCTACTTTTTTTGAAAGCTATAGTTCTGTCATTAGTGACACTTATTAATTAATAATAAATTGTTGTAAATTAAACTTTTATTGTTTCAACTAATTTCCAATAATAATTGATAATAATGTATACTTTGGAACACAACAAGTTTATAATTGAAGTCTATTTTCGAAGAGGACGCTTAGTAAACGGCGATTTTTTAATTTTGAGTTAAAACAAGTAGGTACCCCTATTTTCGTAAAGCGGCATTTTTTATTTTACATGGAAAATTCACAGCTGGCTAGATGAAAATCATTTATAACCACTTTGTATCATGTTTTAGTAATAGAGTAATAAAAAATAAAATAATTAATATATACTTTTGAATGATGAGTTTTGCACCATTCGTTCATATTGTCTAAAATATCTTGCGGGTGGTGAATAATAAGGTCAGGCCCTTCTGCTATAATATTCAAATCGGAATCCGTTATAATGCAAGCAACTTCCATCATCTTATCAGTTGCGACATCCAAGCCGGTCATCTGCAAATCATAGTTTTGAGACAGTCCCAAAAGAGTACATTTTTACCTCCATGTCGACCCACACCACGCGATGTCCTTCCAAATCAAAATGGGGGCTATTTTTCACGGTCGAATATCCATTAACAACAGCTAAAAGAAGTCTCTTGATTATTTAGCACTTGAAAGTAAGGCAACTACACACGAGTCGGGTTGTTTCGAACAAAAAAACTCATCTTATTTGCCATACTTCGAATCATTTTGAGGTTAGATCCGCAAGTTAAGCATTCGCTTAAATGAGTTACAGCAACGATAAAAGCGAGTTTAATGAACTCATTTAATTATTATAAAAAACATTTGGTTCACAAAAGTTGCAATTTTATAATGATATGGATTAAAAACACTTCCCGCCACATGTTAATGACAGAAGAATTGACATCTGTCAAATACTATAAGTGTCAAATATCAAAAGTTAAAATTGATTTTGACAGTTGACACAAGGCGCCAATTGTAAACTATTGCAAAATGTAAAATTTTATTTTCTTTCACAAAAACTTTGTTTCTGATTAACGTAAAAAAATAGAAATATAACTCTATTTCTGTTTTCATTTGGTAAATTTTTTGTTTGTTTTTTTGCAAAATAATTTTCTACCTGAAAAACGGTCTAAAAGAACAAATAAAATAAACAAATAAAATAATTTGTAACTAATATGGTGATTTTTTGACTTATTTGTGAAAAATAGTATTATTATTGTAATAACTAACTGTATGCTATAGGTGTCAAATGCCAAACTCTAAAACTCAGTCTGACAGTTGACATAACACATCAAATTTTAAACCATTGAAAAGTCAAATTATATTTTCTTTCGAAAAAACGTTGTTTTTATTTTATAAACACTTAAAAATACTAATATAATATTATTTCTATTTTAATTTGATAAATTTTGGTTTGTTTTTAACGAATAAATGTTGCAAAACATTTTTTTTTTGTTGAAAAACCTTCAAAAAAGCGATTCAATTTAGCGATTTTTTGACTCTGATGTGCGAAATCTCGTAAAAGAATATGGTACTTATATTCCATACAATTTTTTTAATAAAAATTACTTCCCGCCACATTTT